CCCCAAGGATGTCAACAAAAACTAATTACCAACGGACATTAATTAGAACGCTGATGAGCTGCTCATGCATTTTGGGTGGCTTTGAACTTGGAACATTCATCATATTACAGTTTTGAGGGAATTCATTTGTCTCTATCAGATGTATCTGCTCACTGATAAGGAGGAGAATATCTGTTTGACTGCCCCAATCTGTCTGTTTCAATCGCCCATGGACTCTATATGCCTGCATGGGAATATGTGTCAGATTAACATTTTAAATTTTAATGTAGAAAGTTTGATAAACATGGTCTTCAGCGTGAGGTGTGGAGACTTCCCTCCCCAGGTCTCCTTAAGGGTGGTATTCTGGAAGTGATGTGGCAGGGCTGCTTTGTGAATGTTTAATAGTTTCTTTATTTTTCTTGTATTTTTTTTTTAACCCCAAGTTCACAGAACCTGGCACCTGGCTCCTTATGAGAGCTTTGGAGAATATGGAATCCATACAGCCAGAAAACAACCCAAGTAGGCTAACTAATGATTCATGCCATAACATAATTATTCAAGTTTTTTTGGGGGGGGGGGGTTGTTGCTGGGAGGAGGGTAAATAGTTCTTGAGCTAATTAAATTGTCCCATAAAAATAAATTAGCTGTTTTTTTCACATGCATGTTAGTCTACAGAGCTGTTCATGTGCCCCTCATCTCCTCTTTGACCATAAACTAGCGGCAGGGCTAACCAAATAATTTCCTGAGGTCCCAACCAAGCCAGCACCCAACCCTGTCCCCTGCCCAGCATTGCAGATTAATTACTGTAACAGCAAGTGTAATTGTAATTTGCTACTTGTTTCCTTCTGTTAATCTTTTGGTACTGGAGGAACGGAGCCCCCCTGGGTGTCTGGCTGAAGCAGGGAGGTGGGCATCACACCAGCACGGCCCCTTGGTGCTGCTCCTGGTGGTGGGGAAAATGGAGTGTAAATGGAAGACAATGAGGATTACTGTTCCTTAAATGATACATCACACTTAGGCTCAGTGAAACACGCACTTTTCACTGCCCCCGGGAAGCAGGGAGACGGAGGCTTAGGGCTGCAGGGTGATTCTCCTATTTTCTGCCTCAGCCTTTTATTAGTTCAACTGAAATTGTTAATAACTCAGGAAATGACCTCAGCGGGGCTTCTGTGAATGACTCAGTCTTTTCCTGTCCTAATTTGAGCGAGTCTCTTCCATCTACACTGCTTGTCAGGTGGGCCACTTTCTTTACACCTTACTGGACATGTTGGCACCCCACAGGAGTGCCAGTGTGACGCAGAGCTGTGGCACGACCTCTCACCGCTGCCAATTCCCAGCAGGCACCTGGAGACACCAGTGAAACAACTGTCCCAGGACTTTCCTGTCTTGTGTCTCCTCGGTCTGGCTTTCACATAAAGCTACGCGAGGCCATGCATGCCTCTAAGCGTCTCTGCACCGACTCTCCTCGTTTAGCGACGTAATCGTTTGCCCGCTTCGGCGTTCCGGGCCAGCGGCTCCTCGGAGGCACCAGCGGTGGGTGCAGCGAACCCCATCTAATGAATCACTGCTCAGGAAATCCTGGCTTCCTCGAAGTCACTTTCACAGCATGAAAGGGGAAAATAAATTAAAATTACAACTACCATCACAACATTATGGATAATAGCAGCTCTTCTTGGAATTAATAGATTCCCTCTTTTTACCACTGTGGTGGGGATGCTGTTGGAATAATAAGAGGCACCCCGTCGGATTTGACCGGAGGCAGCTCACAGCCAAAAGACCTTTTATTAAAGCCCTCCACCTACCCCTGAGCAACTTCACTACCATATCAGCACGTGAGGATGCCTCTGCGTCCCCATCCCTCACCAGGTCCCCCTTCAGCTGTAAAATGTTGCCGTTATCACAAAGGGAAAGTAGCAATCGAAAGTCAGACTTCAGCTACCTGCGAGAATCAGGTGATGCACTCGCGCTTGTAGCATTTCCTGGCGCTGCTGCCCCCGCTGTGGCTGACAAGACAGGACAAGGCGTCCCAGCCCTGCTCTCACTGCCCTGCCGGGGCTCCCGGGGCACGATATCTTTAGAGCTCCTGTTGGCATTTTTATCTGACATCTGACGGTTTTTATTGGTCCTAGGCTCTAGGTTGCTGCCAGGAGCTGCAGGGACTGACAGCAAATTGACCAGCGAGGAAAAAAGACCGATACCAGTCCCTAGGAGAATAAAATGTGCGGATAAGAACTTTTATCTGCATTCTCTGACTAAGGACACTTGTATGTGATCATTGTTGGCTGCTTGTATTAAATGATGTATTAGTATCAGTATCAAAAGTCAGACTCTCCTCAGAGGACATAGTGATGTCGCTAAAAGTTAACTTTGCAATATGTCTTGCTCTTTACAAAAAAGGGACATTTTGATTAAAGGGAAGACTAGCAGGCTTATAACCATTAGCCTGAGATTGAACAAAAAGGTCTTGGTCTTCCCTTAACCTAACTGATTTTTGGTCTGCTAAATCAAATTTACCTCCTCTGTCTCTGATGCCAGATCCTTTGTTGGTCATGCTAAGACTCGCCCCTCCCTGCAACCAAGACCCCCGCACGCCTACGTCACCGGGTGCAGGTCCTGTCCCTAATTGACCTTGAGCATTAGAGGTGATGTCTTTTAGCACCAGTTTAGATGGAGGTAATCTCTAGGCCACGTCTCTGATCTTATTGGTGTTTGTTTGTTCTCTGGTACCCCTGCTTGGTCCCTATTGGTCGAATCACATACTAGATTCGATATATGGTTCAGTATTTTGTCATAGTAACTGAGTGGGTAGCACTTTCATCTCATGCCTTGAAGGTGGTGGCTGGAATCCCACCCCTGTGTATCTCTTTGTGGAATTTGCATGTTATCCCTGTGGTGAGGAAGGTTTCATCCAGCGCTCCATAAACATTCAGTTAGGCAAATTGGCATCTCTGGTTTGCCCTTTGTGTGTAATTTTGTGTATGCCCTATGATGGAATAGTGTCGTGTACAGGGTTGCTTTGCCTCCTGCCCTGTACTTCCTGGGATAAACTTTAGTGTAGTGGTTATGGAGGATGGATGGATTATTTGTCATTGTCATTTATTGGTTTAGTGGACACATTTATTCACAACTACTACTAGCAGTTCCACCTGCTGAGAACCTTTATGTTGTCATCAGTTTCCTCAACCAGTACATCTCCTGTTTCCCAGTTTGGCACTCTCATGCTCGACACAGATTCAAGCTGATAGTCATTCTCTCTATTGACGCTCCAGTTTGCAGTAGAGCTCCCTGAAGTTGGACAAGTGTTTACAAAGTGATTTAACCAGAGCTGATGTGTGATATGCCCTTCAGCGATGGGGGCTAAAAGGACTGGTGATCCCTGCTCCCAATACATTGTCTGGAGCGGTTTGCCACGTCACCCCCATCAACGGCAAGGGGGCGACTGATGAATTGAGTGTAAAGAGTTATTCCTGGGAGAATATCCATTATTCACTTGGCCTTTTCTAGTCAATTATAAATATTCAAATATGGGGCAGCCAATGTGCTTCTGGAACCCAACATTGGGTTGAGTGAAGGTGCACGCTTCCTCTCAGAGGTGGATTTTCTCAACATTCCCAGACCTGTTGTATCTGTATAAAATACGAAGCTCTCTGATGAAACCATTACAATGTAATTACAGTTACAGTTCTACACGGCCACCAGCCTCTGGGTAGGTATGGGGCTTTCCATACCCAGTACTGCTGAGGAGTTCCCATGTCTGAGAGCTGTCAGTGGTTAACTGATCTCTGTTTCACTGCTCTGTAGGTAACATTCATTCTGCCTTGTAATGCCTGCAGTTCCCTGTGTTTTAGTACTGAAAGGTTACCTGCATAGACTCCAGGCACATTGTGATTCTGTGGCCATCAAAGAATATAATAGCAATTTGTATTTTGGCTACATTCCACCTGTAATTTAACCTGAGGTGGACAACCTCTGATTTGTTTCAGCCAAGGCTGAATTTAAAGGTCATGAGAAACAACTGAAGACTGTTCAGTGTGGTACCGAGTGATAGGGGTTCTAATCCACCACTTCAGTCCGATTGCAGGCACTGTCTGCAGGGTCCGTTTGGACCATAAAGAAATGGAAACAACTGTGTTTGGGGCTAGTTGAGATAGAAAATAGACACTGAAAGTCAATGGAGATCACGTAATTTCCCTGAATGTGCTTGCGTGCATGTGTGTGTGTGTGTGTGAGTGAGTGAGTGCACATGTGTTAGCAAGCTATTTTCTCTGAGTGCACAAGGTAAATGCGCATACAGTAACTGCAACATCAACGCTTAGGTCAGGCCCCTGCGGAGGGTATCATCAGAACGGGTGGGTGCTGACATTTCAGCTGAAGAGGGAAGACAGAAACTCCCTGCGACACCCTTAGCTCTCCATTTGCAACATCACCCACCATGCAGTATGTCAGTGCCCGTGAGGATCTATGCTCACCAGTGTTTCTTAAGCATCGGTGGCCATACAGGTCTGAGTTAAGGCCTAACAAACAGGTTTTTGAAAATCAAGCGTCTGCGGCAAAATCTTCCCTGCTTAGAAAATAGAGAATTCTACCATCTATCATCCTTTTGTTTGAAGGACATCCTGTGAAATGGATTACTTGTGTTTGCAGTACTCCAATACACTGAGCCAAGCTTATTACTTTATATACGTGCTGCGCAATGCAAAATGACAGGGGGACCTGACAACTTGGTACACTGAAGTATTTACTGTGAGGAGAGTGAATTTGCTGGCTAAGCCTCTCATGGGTATAGTATGTTGCACAAATATTTTGAGGGCTATGCATGTACAACAAGAATGACATTAAGAGCAGAGCAACATTAAATCATGTATTTTGGTCATTATGACCATCTCTAAATATATAGAAGGAAATTATCGTTGGTTCCACCTACAGAATTTCTTTGGATTCTGTAATTTCTCACATTCTGTTTCTCCAGGAAAGGCAGAAATATTCCTGTGTAGATAGACGGAAGGACTCAGCAGTCGAGCTTAGTGCCAAAAACCCCTGCTGGGGTGTCTTTATTAGGGTTAGGAAACAAATGGTTGGTGAGAGGGGAAAAAAATAGCAAAAATATACACACACAGCAGGGGAAATGGGACCAAAAAAAACAATTCCCCCCTAGAGAGTGTTAGCTGAACAGAGGAAGGAGCCGGTGGTCCTATTCCAGGCCGTCATCTTCCGGAGGGTCTGCGGGACAGACGAAACAGCAAACTTTACAAATGTCATGCAATCAGAGAGTTTTTCCTGACCGCTGTCCTGGCGCTTGGCACTGATCCAGTGAAGTGTGTTGTTTGCCATCGATCTGCCAGCACACTAGTGTTCCTCATGCCTCTACAATGAACCGGACTGGATATGATAGTGAGGAATCGGGCGGTTGCTGAGAGTAAACACCAGCTCAGGTGTGTTCCTGATTGAAGAAGCAGTGTGAGCCCCTTTTCTTTGCACTCTACTGAGATGGAGCACCGCTAACACAGCACATTCTCATCTTTCTTTCGCCTTCCTAAATGTGATCTTGTGATTTTTCACCACTTGCATCAATAAGGAAGTGTGATTGAAAATGGCCTGTTTGAAAGTCCCTAAGAATAATATTAGGCACCTGTGTGTGTTTCTTGATGTCTTTTAAATATGATTTCACTTCAAACAAGAATCAATAGGAACCCTTTCAGTACAAAGGAACAGTAGGTGAAATGTGTACATAAACCAGCTGAAGGGTTCCCTTTCCTCTTAAGGGTTTCTTCCATTCATTAGGCTTCCTATTTTAAAAAATCTATCTTTATTCAAGGGTTCCTTATCTTATTCATGTGTGTACATTCCCTAGTCTGCCATTTCCTGGAACTGATCAATGTTGATCTGATCATTTCATACATTCTACTGGCCTTGCTCTGGTTCTTTAATCTTTAGTCTGCAGTGGATGCTCCTTATTAATGAATCTTAAGCTAAATATAAAGGAAATGCCTCACCTCTTTGACTCTGTGGTTGCAAGTGCCTCTTTCTAGATTTGTTATAAGACAAATAGCATGTTAGGAATGAAATGTGTGTCCCTGGAGTCAGAGTGACGCATGCTAGACTCTTTCCCTAACAACAGATTTTTCGGCTAAGGGGGTTACCAGTCACAAGTCTGCATTCCATGCGTGTCTGTTAGTTTCCAGTGAGGGTCTGCTGAGGGTCTGCTGCTTTTTTTACACTCTGGTTCTTTGTAATGTTAGCAGTTTTCATTGACCCACTGGGAGGGAAAGGTGCAGGGCTCAACTGCCCCCCCCCCCCGACGCCAACACAGATTTGTCAGGCCTATAGGTAAAAGGTCAGCTGAGCATATGTAGCCCTGTGTGAAGGTTAATTTACCTCCCTGTTCCTTTGTAGCTACACATGCCTGCAAATATGTGGTCTGCTTGTTTTTATGAATTCTAGTGATGATAGCACACATACCAGACTGTCATTCCAGTGTCTGCAAGGTAGTAAGTTATTTTTCCCAGTTTGGGTGTATTGTAAAGGACTTCCACTCGTGTTGTGATCCCTTAAGTTAAAAAAAAGCTAAGAAAAAAATTGAATTTGAAAAGCAATTCAACACTGTAGTTTGGATGTTGAATTTATTCCTGATGTCTCCCAAATTGCATCTGTCAAAGCTGAATAAAAATGCTTGGCAGAAAGCTGGAAAGTGTCCAGAGTTTCCTATCTCCAGTGAAGAATTTTTAATCATCCCCTCTAACCTGATGCCACAGAATAGAATCCAAGCCTGATGTCTCTGAAGGCCTAGGAGAAATTAAAACTTATAAGACAAAAAAGTCTGTGCCTTAGAGGAAGGATTTAATGCCTTTTGAGACAAAAATGGTTTCTCCGGTTAAAGAGTGTGTGACTTGTGTGCGTGATACTTTGGACTGACAGTCACGCTGGCTTTGTGTGATCTTCTGCAGATCGTCCATGGGATGCGTGAGTTGCTGGTTGTGTTACCATGTGGGCAGCTCCAGGGGCTCAGTTTCCCCTTACCCAAGCACCCACCCACCCACATACACACACACACACATACACGCATACACACACACACATTGCAGTCACAGAGTTTTCCCTTATGGGGACCGAAAAAATGGTCCCTACAACGTGTAGAGTATTGGGTTTTTTCATATTGTGGGGACTCATCATGATAAATTCTCTTTTAAAAATGAACTTTGTCTTCTTAATAAACTTATTAATAAAAATCACATGTTTATGAATGGTCCTGACTGGATTAGGCACTACAATTACAAAATTATACCCACCTTAGCGACCTCCAGAAGACAATGCATTGAAAACTGAATTGTTTTCCTGTCTCCAGTAGTGACACTGGAACTCTGGTCCCTGCATGACCACGACCACATCCTCTTCCTTGTTTCAAAGACCAGTTTCAGTCGATAAGTTTGAGGGCTCGACTCAGCATCTGTCACCTTGCAGCAGCCCCCAAAGCTGCCTGATAGTAAGCAGGTCTTTGGCGGCCCGTCACTGTAAATCACTTGCATCTCATGTCAGATTCTCCAGAATTTTTTTTCCAGCAGAGCAGTTCAAATCACTGTCTGTTTGTGCTGCACTACATAACCCTGCTTCTTAGACTCACGTTCATTTGGAAAGCTATGGCAATACCATTCTGGGACAATCTGAGACATGCAGATCATCTCACTCTGGTGCATCTTACAATCAGCATCTTGCGTTCTCCTCAGTCTCCTGTGTGAGGTCACCAGAGTAATGTTTGATTTAATCTGCCTGTCCAGGTATCCTAGATATAAACATTAACCCATCCCTGGGTTCCTTTATTATCTCATTAGAGACCATGTGAGTCAGCAAACACAGCTGGTCTGATATCAATGGCTTCACAACATAGCTTCAGAACCACTTTTATATGTGATGAATTGCCACATTTTACAGGTGCTATAAAGCAAATGAAGAAATCCCATAACTTGGCCCAACAAGCCATTTGGCGAAAAGGTCACAACATGATACATTTTAGGAGCAAAAACACTTCCTGATTCTGCATGTGAATATGGGCAGATGATACTGGGAAATGGTCAGAGTGGGAATTACGGTGTCATAACAGTATTAGAGTGGGAAACTTGACAGATGTACAGCAGTCAGTCACCCAAATTCCTGAGCAGCTGGACTGGCTATATTAGTCTATAGGGTTGGTAATCCATCATTATAGAACTGGTCATACAGAGTTATTGGACTGGTTATACAAGAATAAAGGTCAAAGAATCTGAGGACAGTCAGGTGATGCCAATGATTCTTCCTTAGACAAAAGGACTGTTTTTATTTGGCTGGTTATTGATTTTAATTAAAACTTTATTCATGATTAAATGCCGTATCTGGCCATGTCATTTAAAAACCTGACAGCAGCCAGTGCAGAACAACATTTTGTGCCACCATCCAGGCATGCAGAACCTGAGCTGCTGGGCTTTCTTGGATGATTGACACTTCCCACTTTGAAGTTTGCCGCTCCTTGGTCTTGGAAGATCAAAGCCGAGCTTGTTTCGTGTGACTATCAAAGGGGCCCAGTTTGTTTGACGCCAAACCTTACAGACACTCTCCTTTATAAATGCTCGGCTGTGGTTCTCCATATCTCCAAACCACATGAATTGACTCCAGGGACGTCCCATGAAAAATATATCTTTATTGTCCTTCCCCTGCCTCAGAACAGTCCTGGAAAAAACCTTGAAAATCCCCATGCAATCTCACTTCAAGGTCTGAGGAGAGCGCGTAAGCGGTGGCCATCATGCGTCTTTGCCACGTCCTGCATTGGCGAGACGAGGCGAAACAGTGCATGGGAGCGAGTCTGATCTGCCTTTCCGCTAGACCGCACTCGGCGAGCCTTCTTTCCTGATCGATCGGCACCTTTTACCACCCAGATGGAGATTAGAGGACGCCAAACAATCAGCCGCTTCGCGCGTAATTAAGACCCGGCGATCGATGGACGGTGGAGACCCCTGAGGCTCGCTCCAGTGTGGCTGGCAGCGGATCGTGGCACGCTTCGCTCTATGATCCCGCTCAGCTGGAAGAGTGGAATCCGATGGATGTTGATGTGTGTCTGCTGCTCCGCAGCCCGCCTCACCCACATGTAAGTCTCCATCGTTTAAGGGGATGGTCAAACAAATGGCAAGAGCTGAAGAGGCATGCTGGAGGTGCTGTTTCTAGAAGCCCCTGGAAGGACACTCTTCTAGAAATCAGCCTATACCTCCCATGCTTGTGTGCAGGTAGCTCAGAGATATGATGTGTACGTAGGTATGTGCAGTTCTGTGGGATTGTGAAGAATCGCAAACTTTTTAATGAATTTATTAATGTTTTTGGCTTTCCTTTGGATGCTCCAAACATCAATACTGGGCAAATAAAATCTGCTGAGTTTTACTGGCACAGTGAGGGCAGAGGCCAGCTTCCATCGCATGGACCATCATATCTGTTCATGAGGACCTGTGCTCACCTGCAGAGCACCCTCCTCCGGCCTGGAAAGTTAATGAGACACATCAGCCGCCTGTCAGCCAGCAGCACTGGCAGACAGAAACCTTATCCGGTGCCCGAGACTCTCAGAGAGCAGGACGGAAGTTTGGAAGTAAGCAGGATCTGCTGCTACCAGCCTTCATGGCCATCCTTAGCCACCACTCTATCTCCAGCTGCTCTCTGCCCAGTGCCCGCTGCTTCCTTGCTGCTTTCTGGGCCCCCGCTTACTATCTGACAAATTAATATCTATCTTCAATGCGTCTTTGTAAAGGTCATAAGATTGAGTTTTGCTGCGATGGAGTCGATGGAGTAATGTTAGAGAGAATGGCTTTACATTGACCACATTCTAAGTATTAATACTACATCATGTAAGCCGTCTTCAGTTTGTGCCAGCACCCTGCCTCTGCCACCTCTGGCCTGCATTAAGATGTCCGTTCCTCAACGCCTACGCTCAGGCCCAGAAGAGATGGCCACAAGCAAAGATAGCTGAAAGCAATAACCAGACACAAAATGGAGTGCTGATGTAGGGGAGGCGAAACGTCCTTCCCGCCCAGGCCGCTCGTTCTCCACGGAGGCGAAACTTTCCCCCTTCAGTCAGGTCCCTCTCTCTGGCCTGCACACTACTGGCTGCAAACGTGTGATGTCATCTCTGCTGTTGCCATAGTGATTTCGCCAGCAAGATTTGGAAATTAAGGAGTCAATCACGTAGAAGTCTCAGCAGAAATCCTACC